GAAGAAGCAGGAAGGGGGTAGGAAGCGGCAGCGCCGGTGCCGCGGCGCTTCCCCGCCTGCGCCGACATGAGGGGCCGGGCTAGGGCCGGCCGGCGCGGCCCGCCTCCTCCTGCTTGACGGCGGCGGCCCGAGCTTGGCTTGAGATGGCGGCGGGTAGCGTGTGTTGCTGTGGTACCCCGGGGGAGGCGCGTAAGTCATTAGACTAAAAATATTTTCTGCCCAAGAAGTAACACAGCTCGTTGTTTAAAGCAAACAAGCCCCCGTTAGGTTGAAGCGTTACCATTTCAGACGATCGGGAGCACTGCTGAGCCCTGCTCCTTAGGTCTCTGCATCTTGCAGGCCAGTGCCAGCAACATCGTGCCTACCTCAAAAACAGGCAAAATGTTATTAAAAAGGTCTAGGGAGCGAAGTTATGAAATGCTGCAGAGTATCCAAGGCTGTAGAGGAGCAGAGATCTGGGGAATAGGTGTCAAAACCAATGTGTGGCCCTTGCCGGCATGGTATATGTTGTGGAAGCGTTTTCCCTTTATTCATGGTGTCCTTTAACCAGGAGGAAGCAAGCTGCAGCAACCACCACTCTGCCTCACCACCAGCTCAACATCACCTCCTATAAATACTGTTTCCCGTTCCCCAGGCGCTCATCAAGATCCCAGCACTGCCCACCTTACCCCATCAAGCAGTTCAGTCTCCCTTTCCTCAACTTTAACCCTGCTTTCCCTTTCACCATTCCTAGTCGTTAGGGTAGGTGAGAACCTGTCTTGATACCCTTAGCCCCTCTTATAGCTAGAATGGGAAGGATTCATACTGCTGCACAAGCAACGACTGAAAAATGTCAGTGCACGCAGTTGTATACGTAACAGTCACATTATATTTGAAAACATTTGTAACTTAAACAACTACCTGCATCCTACAGTACATGGGAGAGGGGGAAAAAAAAAGGAAAGCCTTTTCTGTCTTGCTTGGGGTTTGGGAAACTTGTAGAGGCAAGAGAGCACATGTTTTATGCTCTTTCTGAGAATGCAATGCATTATTTTAGCACTCATTTCTAACAAACCAGTCTTAGCAACCCTCCACGTCTTCCTCAAGGCTTACACCTCGGTCCAAGAACACACGAAACTCTTGTGCTGAATTAGTAAAAAACTACTTAAGAGCAGACGGACAACACTGTGCTCTTTCAAACGTGGGCTTTGCTTTGGCAGGATTAGGGTGAAAGAGCTTGACTTTTACCCGTTTTTTTTTGTGTCACACAGGAGTAACAAGAGAAGATGTGGGCAAATTTCAAAGAACCACTAGAGGCCAGTAAAGTCTGAAATACTGGATTGAAAGAGAGGATAAACGGAGAAAGCGGTTCGGCTCTTCAGGATGGCAAACGCAGCCCTAACCAGTAAAGGAATATTTAAGGCTGGTATTTGCTCTGTAACTTTCTCACATAATCAATAAAATTACTTCCATTATTTCAACAAAGTAATTTCAAAAAGCAATGCGTGTACCCAAGGAACAAAATTAACAAGAGTCTCAGCTGTAAAGGATGGGGGGAAGTGAAATAGTTTGTCAGCTTCATTTTGCTACTTTGCTAATTAAGTTCTATCAGCTATTTTTACATTTAATTTTGTGGTATCTTGCCTTAAAAATGAACCTCTTTTTATTATTTTTCAGGTTAAACTAACAGTTCTTAAGAGCTTCTCAATCAAATATGTTGTGAAAATTAAAAAAAAAAAAGTCTGCTACCTACCATCTCTCTGTCCTGATCATTGCATTTTTTAAGATACCATTCACTTTGATATGCAGTCATCTCGCATGAAGCAGGTTTTGCATAGTAACAATGAATGCTGACAAGCCTTCTGCCTACATGGAGAAACAACAACATCTAGTTAATTCTCACCTAACAGTTCAGTGGTAATTAAGCAAAGACCATCAATGAAACTGTGAACATGGGCATTTTAAGATAAATTGCCAAATAAAAATGAACAGATTCTCTTTACCCCAGAAGCCAAAGCAAGTGGTTCCCAAATACACCAATTAGCAGGTGTACTCAGGAGCCCTCTAGATCGATGGCACCAAACCAAAAATATACAGGTTTTTCTCTTATTTTGCAAGACTGCAAAATCTGAAATAGTAAAGCCATTTAACTTTTCCCCTTAGCCTTCTCTTTGAAAAATACATATAACTGTAAAATCTTAGCAAATTTGGTTAAATAAATAAATTTTAAGGGAAATCTCAAATCCATATTTGTACCTCATTAGATTGGCAAAACGTATGGAGCAGTGCTTCAAAGTCAGTTTATTGGCTTCCTGAAGCAATGAGCGGTACCTGGCTATGGTCAGAACACCACTACCTCTGGACTCAAGACTATTTGTGCCCAAAATCTCAGTATCTTCAGTTTATGTGCACTGCTGTAGATTTCTTCTGCGTACAGGTATTACAGACACTTTAGGTCCAGTATTTCCAATGTATATTTTGGTATATATGATATATATACCAAAATAAATATATATGTATATACATACATATATATATGATATATATATGATGCTGATATAGCGGTAAATCTCATTTCCATCTGAAGGGGAAAATCCCAGCCACTTGCAATTAGTTTGTTTGGTTGTTGGTTTTTGTTAAAGTAAGTCTTTTAATTTCCTGATTTCCAGACATAATTTCACATTCTTAATGGGGACGTCAATGGAGATCTGGGGGGCGTCTGCGTCCATGATCCATTTGGTTAATAAGTAAATTAGCAGACAAAAATGTCTGTCGTTTTCTCCCTAAAAATGTGTTATTTGGAAGTACTAAGGCAAACACAATTCTGTTTAGCACACAGGCCAGTGCAGAGTTGACCATAAATCCACATCAGTATCATTCAGTGGGTTTCCCAACATCTTGCCATAGGCTGTGGTTTGCCATCAGCTCTCAGAGGATTGAAGGTCTGACTTTGTTACCTTCTTTTTTAACTCTTTTTGGCACAACATTGTGTAGGAGTGCTTTGCTGTCATGTCTAAAAGGACTCCAGCTTCCCAATGGGGTGGGCCAAAGGATCTTGTCACTTAAGGCTGCTCTAGCAAGTGACACCTTCCTAGAAACCATGTTAACAATGTTGCTAAAATCCTGATCCAGATGAACAAGGGCACCAATTACCTAAGCTGATTCTGTGCTGACATGTGCGTGAATGAATTTCCAAAAGCAAGAGCGAGCTTTTCCATGTGTGTGCACCTGTAATGCAGGCTGCTACGTGCTAGATAAATATTCATTGCTTTTGGCAATTGGTTGTAAGAGCTTGTGGCTCTTAGCACTTCTAATTTGTTAACAGGAACAGCAGATATGGGATTGGAGTTTCCACAAGCTTTACTTACATAAGGAATCCTGGTGACGGATTGATGCCACTCAACCAGACCTCTTCACAATTAGTCTCTTATTTCTTTCCTACTTGTGCTCCAGGCTGAAAATTACCATGGGTAGTCTTCAAACAACCAATTTGAATAACCAGAAATTTGGAATACATTTCTTGATGCTTTAAATCTGCTTGGGAAATCTCAGGAGAATTGGTATATCGGCTGCATAGACCTCCCTACAGCCAATTTCCAGGAATGCCTCATTACAAGGATAAATTTTTCAAGGCTAGAAGTAAGGTGGTGGGTTCTTGAATGAAGCTTCAGATCCATTCTCAAATTTGGATAGCACTAGCTTAACTGAAGTTAAATTTTACAAGAGCACAAGTACCACCTTTTCTTTGCTGAAACATCTGTAAAGCTCCAACCACTGTTAAACAGTTCCTAGGATGGGGAATGAACAGAGAGAGCTGCAGATTTAGAATAGTCTTATATCAAAATAAGGAAGATTAGTCCATTTTGCATCATATACAATTTTTAGCTCCATTATTATTAAGCAAAAAAAGGACAAAAAAGGAGGAATTGTTTTTAAATACATTTAATGCTATGAAACATAATAACCTTTAATCATTTAAATCCTTGCTAAATCTTAACATCAATGATAATAAAATGTTTTTATAAATTTTTTCTTTAACCACACAATATTCTGTTTGTTTTATTCTAGGGCAGAAAACAGAGTCTTCATAAATAAAACACTGACATGGAGTGTAAGACAAACCCAGGCCAGACAGTGTGCTAAAAAATCTGTGAAAAGTGCATCTGGCTGGCTCAGGACTCCCTGAGTAAGGTAGACATTCTCCTAAGCACCTCTCGGCTGTTTGGCCTCTCATGAAAAAACATGAAATAAAGGCTGCCTTTCTCATTTTAAAGGTATTCTATATACACATTTCACTTGCAGTGTGAGGTAGGAACCAGTTTATAGGGGTTGTATCTAATCTGGGCTTCACATCCTTGCTGTTGCCCCTCCATTCGCTAGGCAAAAAGATAGATTTAAGTGCAAAACAAAGCCTTAGCTGTCTATGAAAGTGAAACTTTAGATTGCAATTCATCAGCTGATTGTAAGGAAGGACACTTGTCATGATTTTCACCTTCAAAGCAATAAGAGGCACAAAAAAACTAGACGTACTTTTTTTCTCCAAAGGATGCTTTCGTAAAAAAGAGGACCTAGGCACTAGAAGAAAAGTGTTTCCAAGTGACCTAATCCAAAACCCTGTGAGGTTTCTATTTTTAACTGAACCTGGCCCAGAGTAAATTCTTAACTGAAAAATAGCAGCAACTCAAAAGTGCATAAATTACAAACTTCATTAATAAATTAAGGAAACAGATTTGCTGCATGTAACTATCCTCCTGACTGTCCCAAGATCCTTTTAATTTTGCAATGGACACTGAAAATGAGAATAAAGATACTACTATTTCAAAATCAAAACCTTCAATTTTTTTTTTTTCTGAGATAAGGCATCTTGTCTTTTACAGAAATTCAAAAGGTATGTAGACAGGAAGGAGCCTAATAACAAGACAGCCCCCTCCTCCACCACCAAGGTTTAATCAATGTCTTTTCCATCCATACATAGACTTGTAATTCAGAAGAAATGCTGAGCATCTCATTCCCAGGGGTGCTGATTGTTGGAGAACTTGCACAGTCGGAAGGCTGAGGACAGACCCTGTCCTGAGTAGAAGGGGAGGCAGGATGCTTCAGAGCAATTTTCAACTGTAGCAGGTTCAGCTGTGGGGCTTGCAGCTTTTTTCATGTCTACTACAGACTCTTGTGAGTCCTGCGTTCACAGCCTAAACATTCTAATTGGCATTCAAAGACTGCAGGAGATAGTACTGGAGTGACATTTTGGATCCTCATATTGAAAGCCTGGGCTTTAGGGGACAGTAATAGTCATGCCACTGGAACCCCCTCCACCAGCAATCCATGTCATGAACAGAGGTAGGAAAAGTGCTTAATTGGTATATAAGGATCACGTTTACTCTGAAGTTCTTATTGGGACTGTTATTTAATATAAAATTACTCTTCAGCCTCATAAGACACGATCATATTAATTCATGAAGAAATGAATCCATCAGTGAAGCACGACAGTGTCACTAACTGCTTTCATTGCAGTGAGATGGTTTCCGCTGGCTGGCATGCCGTGAAAAAGCACGCTATCTCTTGAATGAAAAAAGTTGTTTCCACTTCACTGGTGGTAAATACTTATTTTTCCTTTAGCACAAATTTAAATGCTGGGTTTTCTTCCAGGGAGGTTGTTCATGAGGACACACTTGTTACAAAGAAATCTGGGTGGAGCTTGTCTTTCTGTATCTTAAGCGTACTGTGAGTTGAACAGACTAGATCTATAAGCCATCTGGTATAGAGGTAGCAGTACAGTATTGTGATAAAGCACTTCCACAACAGCACTTTCAAGTACTTTGAACCTCACAGAATCCAGAAAAAAATTCCCATTAAAAGTGTGCTTCAAAAGAAGAACACCAAGCTTTACTCTTATCACTTCCAACTTACTGCAGGCACAGAAATCCTCCTTTTCCTTAGCTAGGACCTACCCTCGATCCTGACTGATCCACCATTAGTGATCAAGAACATCGAGCAGAGTGAACATGCAGGGTCTTGGCTGCAGTCTGTGCAGATGATAATCTCTAACAATATTAATAATCAGGGATTCACTTTTTCTAGAAACACAGCTGTGCCAGAATCTGCTTCACTGGAGGAAGAAGGTTGAGCTTCAGACCTTGGCCATGGCTGAATTAAAAATTCTCTTTTTTTTTCCTGGAAAATGCTTGTATTTATAACACAGGTAAAACTAGTAGCTTTTAAATGTTATTTTAATGACATCAGGTTGTAATTTCTGATAAGTGAGAATATTTCAAGGCTCAAAGATGAGGCATGCTATCTGATATGTTCAGTATAAATTCACAAGGGGTTAGGATCTCTGACAGCAAAGATAGTGCTTGCTGTGAGTGAAGTTTGCTTTAACCAAAACTACATAGGAATATATATACCGAAAAAATAACCTTTTAGAATTACAGACAAATATGAGTTACATGTAGTCCATGTAGTTAAATCCATTTTTGATTTTGGAATTAGATGCCAGTTTTCAAGGTAATCCACTCACGGAAATAAGTCACTCGTGTGTAAACTCCAGGTTTATTTGGTTTGGCACATTCGTCTCCCCAGCTCACTATTCCCACGAGGTACCACATCAGCCTAGAGTCTGGAGTAACTAGTGGTCCCCCAGAGTCACCCTAAAGAAAGAGGAGGGGAGAAAAGATATATAATTGATCAGAAGGAAAAATACAATTCCCTCCATGCATGGAAGGGTGTGCCCAAGAAGAGAAGAAAGCAAGAAAACAAGCAGTATTTCAAGAGCTGCCATTCCTGCAGAATGCAGGTTGTTCTTGAAACTTGAGTCAGAAGTCAGTGGCTTTTTCCTGTTTGCCATGGAACCTCCTGACTTGCCTCCATAGTTTTACAGTAAAAAGGAAAAAAGCTTCTCTTCTGTTTTGTGAAACACCGCTTCCCACCTGCCTTGACTTCCTCCTCAGACAAAGGAGGGAAGCACAAATATGCACAACAATCTAAGTAAAGAGAAACTTCCCCCCCCCCCCCAATAACCACTATTCTTACAACAAATAGTCACTTGCAATAATAACATTTCAAAACAGATTTCATCAAGAACTTGGTCTTCTAATTAGACAATATCTCCTGAAGATAATAGCTACTTTCAAAGGGTCAATTCAGATACTGTTAATAGCATGACATAGTAATAATATTTAAACTGGAAACCTTACAAGCTGAAAGGCAATCCTCACCCAACAGACCAAATTCCCCATCTTCCAGCAAAATGCACCCTTCTGTGCAGGTCTCCTAAATGCTGCGCCAGCCAGGAGCAGGGGAACTGAGCCTCCTGGACTTATTCTTCAAGGGGTTTTACTTTGGGCACAAATCTGTAGGACTGTGATTCTGGAAAGAGTCTGTTTTGAACCAGCACTTGGCAGTACATTCTTTGTAAATAACATAAATAGAAATCATGGTTTTTAAAAGTTTCCATTATGAAAATACTTTTGTTCAAACAAACATTTACTTGCAGCATTTGTAGACCTGCACCACACATGTATCTCTACCATTCTATTTACACACAGCTTCCTTACAGTTATCTTTGTTTCAGACAGTTTTCCTTCCTCTGATCCAAGTCTGTTACCAAAGACCATATAACACATCTGCATCGGGATGATCCAGTCCAGAATTTAATTTCAACGAGCGATAGTGCATTTTTGCTGGCTACTTAACTGCTACATTCTTAAGCTTCTTCCTTCCTAACTGCATAGGTGTTTGTCTTAATTACTTGAGACATTTAATTTTTAGCTTATATTTACTATTTCAGCATTTAGCATCTCTGTCAATTTCTTGCCATATCCCTTTGCAACCGTATTGTTTGTTTTCACACACAAGAAATCAGGAGAAGCAAATGGGCTGGTAGCAGCTTTTTTGAGTTACAGAATAAGATTTAATTTCATGCTATGAAAGGTTTAAATGGTGAATATTATCATAATTTAGCTCTCTTTGTATAGGTTTTATGTGCTAAATCATGTGCAATAAATGCGATTTCATTTTACAACTTAATTCCTGTTTGAATGGAGCTTACATAAAGGACTAATACATTGTCAGTTAAGATTTGGTCAACCAGATACCAAAATTAGTATTAAAATAGTTTTCCTTTCTAATTTTCAGCTACAGTTACCTGACAAGCATCTACCCCTCCTTCCAAGTATCCAGCACACAGCATCCTAGGTGTTATGTCCCCATCGTACACTTCTTTTCTGTTGCAAGTCTTTGAGTCAATAAGTTTCACTGTTGCTTCCTGAAGAGCATTTGGAGCTGGACCTAAGGAATAATACAGTTTGGATATTTGTTAACAGAATTATCTTGCAGTAGTTGAGATAGATAGATACAGGAAGAGCATTTAATGTTCTCTTATGGATGATCAGCTTGACTTGGTATGATGTAGAGGTTTTGCTTGTTGATCTGTCTAGGTTAGGCCCTTAAGGAAAATGTACATACTCATAGTCTTAAAAACTGTACCATTAAGACAGAAGTAACAATTGCATGGCACATAGTGCCTTATACATATTCCATATAATACTATGGAACACAAATTACCTAGCAATTTGAGCAGATGATACAAAATGAAGATATCTTTGGTTCCATTGCTAAATCTTAGCATGGCCTGGTAAGTGTCTGAGCTTGCGTCAGTCACTGCAGCTCCCTCTGCTGATTTACCTGAAAGCTCAGAGTTATCTGTAGCTTCTGTCTAGGGCTGGGAGAATATTTTTTTTTAGGTGCTATATAAACACATGCATTGATAGATTACATGTCTTAAGAATTTACAATGTGAAATGGAAAGGCTGGAAAAAGAGAGTTTTCTGCTTGAGTGGACAGTAGCTCTTTGTCCAGTGTAATTTTATAACAAGAATCTGCTGCTTACAACTAAACAAGCCTATTGCTTAAAGCATTAGGCTTATTGCCATACAACATATATCTGCAAAAGAGGTATCAATTCAGTAGCACAACAGAGCTACTGTTTATGCAACATACAGGTTGCCTGGCAGACTCACCGTCATTGGTAAGTGCTCCCCAGCCTGTGATGACAGCGTAAGTATTGTACAGAAAAGTCTGAGATGGCTCAGGTAGACAGACACGGTGTACGCTACTTGTAAACTCAACTCGTTTCGAGAGCTGCACAAGTGCAATGTCATAATCATGTTCTGGGTACTGGTACATTTCATGAATTATAATAGTCTTGATTGAGCGTTTCATGCTTGGTGGCTTCAAAAGAGCTCCAAAAGTAGCAGTCCACTCCTGAGGGTGACCCATGCTGAAAAAGGTAAGAGTGTTGTTATTTAGCTGTAAATAAAGTTGTCCAGGACTTTAAACTTAATTAACACTTTTACTGTAAAGTTCCTTTAAGCCGTGTCCCTAGTAGATTCTTAAGGCTTTCATCACTTTACATCAGTGTCTCACATGATGTTGTGCTGCTGCTAGAAGAGGGCAATCTGCATTCCCTCCTCAGCCATGGTCTCATACTCCTCCCTTGCTCCTTGTCCCTGATCCAGCCATTGTGTGGCTGCAGAGTGTAATCAAATCATAAAGCTCTTCTGCCAGAAAACTCTTCATCTCCATTGCATCTTTTGAATGTTACTAATCCGTTCCATTTTACATACCCTGCAGCTTCACAATTGCCATGCTTGAAACAAAAAGGAGTTGGGAATGCATGGCTGAATAGAGGGGTAGGAATGTGAGATTATAACTTGTAGTAGCAGCCTGCAGTGGCAGCCACCTAACTTCAACATGAAGGAGTGCCACATTCAGTGCAACAGGAAATAAATACTCTGCCATTTCAGTCACATTACTGTCTCTGCGCTTTTTTTCTCAATATGCCAAATGACTACTGATTTCCACTCACAATTGCGAGTTCTGCCTAGTCTTTAATTTCTCATTGAAATAGTCAAGTGATGTGTCTGCTTAACCCTGACTTTTCTCCTCTAAGGCAAAAAATTATTTCCCTGGAAAAGAGTTAGGGAAGTAGTGCAAATGTGGAAAGCCACATAACTTGATAGGCATAGAATGGGGCGCATTCTGCTGCAGATTCTCTCTAAGATGGGAACTTACTCTCTGAAGCAGTGAGCTGCAGATACAAGCCAGGTATTGCTGATGAGTGTTGCACCACAGCGATGGATATTATTGTACTGCAAGCTAGCTTGCCACGGCCAGTCCCCAGTCTCTGCAGAAGACAGTCCACCGACTATTCGCAGTGATGATGATTTTGCCATTGACTTGACTGACCTATTCTGTCGTAACCCGCAGACTGTCAAAAGGAGAAAGAGTGTATCAGCTATTCTTCTGTTGAGTAATATGCCTGCCAACGGCTGTGAAAAAAAAGGTAGAGTAACACATCACTTCGGTTCTCTAACACTATTAACATCAACAAGAAAACATACCTTTCACCAGTCCCCCAAATCAGAGATCCTCATGCACAACCCATTCTGTTAGAAGCCTGAATGAACATCTGACTTGTAGAGAGCCATGATGGTCAAGCATTCAGGCTTAACTACATAAGCAGCCCAAATCAGAAATCAAAACCATCACCACACACCCAGGACAATTCCCAAACACAGGGGATTTGTCATTAATGTCCCAGGTAATTTGTCATTAATGTCCCAGGTAATTTGTCATTAGGATAAAACATGAACAAGGCAAAATCTAAGACAGGAATGATCCAAGCCATGGGTTTTTGCCACACATGCATGCAGATTATGTCAGCAAGATGTCACCTGGAAACAAGCAACTGTGCATTGCACAAATGGCAGTCTTCAAGCAGACCTGGAAAGGCACTTCAGGCAAAGAGCATGACATTAATCCAAGCCAGAGAAGACAAAGGCATGGATACTTCCAGCACAGTGTGCATCCATGTCAAAAAGCATTATCCTCCAAACCCAGACAGAAATTAAAATATGCATGGTTTCAGCCACTAAACTCAGGATATTCAGAAGCAGCTGAAGCTCCCCCATAGCTTTGAGAAAATTCCTCAATGGATAGAGCTCCTTCAGCTGTCTTCTCCCATCAAAACAGCATCAAATCCCTCTTACCTGGACCAAGACCCACTAGTTTTCATCCAGGCCCCAATTTCAGCTAGACATTAACAAAGTTGACAGAGAGGACCAATTCATTAAAAAAGAGACAGGGCTAAGAATTATTTGCATAGTGACAACACAATCCAAACCATTGCACTGCCTGTTTCCTGCAGACAGTGACCCAGAGTGGGACAAAGCAGAAATCAGTAGTACACCTCTGAAGAGCTGTCAGCCCCAGGGCCCTTAAAGTCCTCAGAAGTGAAACACTGGAGCCACACACAGCCCCTTCCTGCTAGGATCTGCACAAGGTTATGTTAACAGTACCTCATAGTCAAAAGAAGCAGCAATAACACAGCAGATTGAAAACTGTTCATAGATTTTGGAGGAAAAAAAAAAAAAGTCATGTAACATGGAGAAGTTCATGTGCTCAGTGTAGAGTCTGCCCTGTTCTGAGACATAAAACCACAGTGAAGGAAATCGGTGAAATTTGAATCTACTTGTGCAAAACTTACATGTGAAAGGAAAACTGAAGAATATATCATAACTCGCAAGACTGTCTTAACTAGCATGTTTCCCTGCAGAAAGCTATTTTTAATCCTTAATTACTGGTCCTAAAACTGCATAATCCTGATAACCATCTGAACAGTCAATGTTCAAAACACAGGGAAAAACTCACAGTTTCATCAGTATCCCAGAACACCAGCACGTAAAACCAGCACCAAGTGATGTTATTTAATCTTCCATTACTTGACAGCCTGCTGCCAAGGAAATAATCAAACCTCTCAGAGTCAAAAGAAACCCAATTTATAAACAAAGATGGCTTTTTATAACAACTGTATCTTCAAACAAGCGAACTTCCTTCTCTGAAAGCCTGAAAATATCTCTAAACCAAACTACCTCAATCTAACCGCTACAGCATTAACTTGAGACCAGTCATATTGCCTTTTATGCCTGTATGGAACAATTTTGTGCTACTAGCCATTTCAAAATCCAAAACATTTTCATTATAATCACTTTCTAATGTAACTTCTTTACATTTCCTTAAGTAAATGACATATTCCCAATTTCTGAGAGCTCAGAGAAGGACATTACTCAAAAATCTCCTGCCTGAGCCCAATCTTACCACTTTTGGGGCACTTCTCACTTGCAGGCTGCATTAGAGGTCTGCTGCTATCCTTAAAGTATCAATTGAACAACATGCTGGTGCATGTGCAGGTGTAAATCTCATCACTTAATTTATGTATAGGAAAATAACAGGTAGTAAGGTGGACACAAATGGTTATGCTACAGTATCCAAGACAAGCGTATATGAAATAGATTCTTCAGTCTCTGCTCCAAGATGCAGTTCTAATATTTTACGTAAGGGAGACAGAAGACAAGCCTGTGTAGGCAGGATTAGACTTGATGAAGTGTTCTATTTAAGCACATGTTTTAATCAGCTTATAATAGAGATTGCTTCTCACTGCAATCTGCTCAAATATAAAATGCACTCAAATCTGTGATAAGGACTCTCCTGCCTTTAGCACATTATAGTACACCCTTTAGCTATCTGTTGTGCATGACATTAAGCAGTCATCTAGCCCAAGCAATTAAATTCCTTTATTTGTTGCAAGTTCTCCTTGCTTACTCAGTTTTATTACATATACCTAGGAGTCATCTGCAGTGCCTTAGCTTTCATGCAGAAACATGGCTTTGTATTCATGTCCAAATACACAGCTAATCAGACACAGCGTAAAAGCTTTCACTGGTTCCAACAGCAACAGGATCAGGCTAGTAAATAAACGAATGTCCTGAACATTACAGTGCTCAGCCCTCACTGGCTAAGTTAGTTCTTTCCTAGATGACTGGGTTTACATTTAAGATGCGCCCTCCGCCTAACATACGAGCACTGCTGGAGACAGAAGCGTGCTATAGTCACCAGCAGGACCCTCATGCCTCCTCTCTGCCCAACACTGGGGATTTCTATAGAGCCCTCAGTACTTGCTCTTTTCTCACAGAATTGCTGATATTTTTAGCAGAAGGAACATCTCACTACCAAAAGAATGACCAGGGAACTCAGTAGTGGGTGAAGACTTTTTACCCCATCACCAGTTTTCAAGCCAGTCATCCTAGGCATCCCAGAAAACACTAAAAGAAAAAGGCCTCCTTGTGACTGAGCAGTGTTCCTAAACACATGGCTTATCCATGTGAAGTACAAGGTTGCATTCCTTAGACAGAAGGATAAGAAAAGGTTTTTCAGGGCCATGAAAAGTGCTCAGAAACTATTAATGCTAATTAAAACAATCAGAGATTTCCCAGGCTTAAAAAGCCCTCACTTACTGTCATTGAAGAGGGCTTCTGCTCTTTTTGTCTCCATATCTGAAACAAACAAACAGTCAGGGTAAGGCCAGGACAGCACAGACAAGGTTTCCCATCTGCATAGTCATCCCCCCAACAGCTAGCTATGTGAGTGCAGGGCAACACAGGGTGTGCAGCTGAGGGAGACTGCTAGAGAAACCAGTGTAGCTCTCAAGTGGTCACATTCTTGCACTGGCTGTTGCACTCCTCTCTGCAGTGCTGTTTGCTGTTCTCCAGCCAGCCAACATCCTCTGAGGAACAGGCACAGGGTCTCCCCCCGTCCTGCTCGGCCCTGATGTTCCTGGAGGGTAGTACAGACAAAACAAGTCCTGTTTTACTCAAGATCTACAATTTTGCTGGGGGGAAGTTTTTACAGTGGAAACTTTTGAAGTTCCTCTTTTGTAGAAAATCAGTTGGCCATATGTCATATCAGAGTGAGGGCAGAAGGAATCAGGTACTCTGTGCCCTCTTCCAGATCAGAAAGCACTGATTTTACTGTGGCAATGCCAGTTTACAATAGCTCACTCTCCTTTCTCCTAGCTTATTGAGCAACAGCGTGTCTGGTGCACTGTTAATACTAAAATAAATAGTTAATAGCATAGCACAGCAGCTTGTAGCAATATATTCCCTCTTTTAATATGCATGTTGTATGTTTATGGACCACACGGTATGATCATGCTGACAGTAACAAGTATTGGCTCAAATGTCCCCTTCTTCCAGAATACTCTTTTACTATAGCTACCATTTTAGTTGCCAGCAGTCAAAACAAGTAAAAAATAAAACCACAGTTTTAAATTACACAGTGATTCTTGAACAGCATTCACATCGTCACATCTTGCAGCTGGATAACCTTTCTTGGCAGATTCCTGTCCTTATCCACTCACTTCATTTCCCTGTTCTCTTTGCAGCTACACAGAATAATATTCTGGTTTTGATCCAAAACCACACCAAGCCAGGAGGAGTCTCTTTTGAATGCAAACGGCTCTGGCTCATACTTGTCGCCTGTTGTGCTCATAACACTTGTGTTTTTCTTGTGGGCTTGACGCTCTTCCTGGTATGCAGGGTGAACTGCATGTTTGCAGTCCACCATTACTAGAGGTGTACTCATTCATTCCTTAATGTGACATTAAGCAGATTAGGATAGAAGAAGGAAACAAACAGAACTCAGGTGCATGTACAGCTTGACTGCAGGGAATGTTACAGAACAAAGGCAGGGCCAGGAATGCCATACATGCATGCATCTGCTGCTTTATTTTGTAAGAATAGGAGATGAGTTATAATTGGACATTTATATAGCAAGTCTTATTCACTATAAACAGGAAGTTTTCACATACATAACAAAGATAAGTAAGTTTTTCTGGTGGGCAGGCAACAACTTGCAAGGTCCCCTTCCAGTAAAAATGCTCACTTTACTTCCTCAATTCCTATAAAAGAAGGAAAACCTTCAAGTACCGATGCTTTTGCATTTCAGGAATGTCATTTGTATGCTGGAATTTCCATGGATAATATGGTTGGTTGTTGCCAAGATCCCTTACCTCAAAATGACCTAATACAAGATGGTAAAAGCTAGGCCAGCAGAGGGATTCAGCGGTGGCGTAAATATTACTGTTTAGTAAGTTACATAGTGAGTGGAAAAAAATGAGTGCTGAGCTGTGCTAAGGATTTGTCCTCTTCACCTGTATGTTTATAATGGCAAGAAGTGCTGTGAAAAAACTGGCCCTGCTTATTTCTGGTGATGAGCATCCAGTGTTTTCCTAGAAATTCATACGACCTTCAGAACTAGCTCCTAATTTGAGTCACTCTAGTATTTTATAGCTGGAAACTGGTAAGAAACCAACAATGAAAGAGCACCTTTTGCCTTCAAGTGCAATATCGATAATAATGGTTTTTAGCTCCTCTCTGGGTGGAGAGTCATTTACCTCATAATGCCTAATTATAAAGCCTGCAGTCAATTATTAGCACTTACATTATGTTGCAAAGCTCATCGAGAAGACAAAAGGAGCAACCAGCTTGTTCAAGTGCAGTGCCGGAAGCAATTCAGTTGGCATGCTCTCACTGCACTGAGTTTGCTGTGAGTCACGCAGCTGGTCGGCAAGGCACCTGTCTGTATCTCTATTTGCCTTTTTATGAGGCACCTAGGAAGAAGTACAAACCTCACGTAGGCAATATTTTACCCATTGCTTCCAGCTGCACTGACTTGGAATTGGAGAAACAAGTCTTACACGCACATACTGCAAGTTTTACATAGCATGCCTGCAGGGCTTTGGATTTTTAGCATATTTTATAATATATCATAACTATGCAGCCAATGTACTCTCCCACCTACCTACTGCTGAAGGAAAAAGGGCAGTGACACCTGTCAATAAATTCAATGCTGTATTCATCATAGTAGGGGCACCACTTCATTTTAAAGACCTGCCCTGACCATGTATCCCACACTGGGAGCTGGAACACAAGTAGCAAAGAAAACACCACAGCAGTGTAGAGAACCACAAAGTAAAGGGAGTTGTTAAGAAGTGAAAGCAGGCCTGTTTGGTAACAGGCCCAGAAACCCACCATGCAGATCAGGACAAGTGAAATTACGGGCATAATACCCAAGACTCAAAACCAAGATCCCAAACCCAGAGCACACATATGTGTTTGGAAACATGAACCAACTGACGCTATTTTGGGTGAGCAGAGCCCACAATACATCCCATAGAATCATAGAATCAGCTACGTTGGAAAAGACCTTTAAGGTCATCAAGTCCCGCCGTTACCCCAGGACTGCCAAGACCACCACTGAACAATGTCACTGAGGGCTTCATCTATGCGGTTTTTGAACACCTCCAGTGGTGACTGCACCACTTCCCTGGGCAGCCAATGCCTGACCACCCTTTTGGTAAAGAAATTGTTCCTAATATCCAGTCTAAACCTGTCTTGGCACATCTTGAGGCTGTTTCCTCTTGTCCTGTCACTTGTTACTTGGAAGACAGACCCCTACCTCACTACAACCTCCTTTCAGGTAGTTGTAGGGAGCGATATGACCCCCCCCGAGCCTTCTCCAGACCGAACACCCCCAGTTTCCTCAGCCATTCCTCATCACACTTGTGCTTCAGAGCCTTCAGCAGCTCCACGGCCCTTCTCTGGACCCGCTCCAGCACCTCAATGTCTCTCTTGTAGTGAGGGGCCCAGAACTGAACACGGGATTCAAGTAATGAACAATGAGTATTCCCTCACCAACCAAGCCTATCACTTTGTCACAGAAGGAGATCCCATGAAAAGCAGGAGTCCTTTGGGTTATACAATACTGCTGAAGATCAGGTTGCTCACTGGCTTGCCTTCGTTTGTTACTAGCTTGACATTTTGGCCTGGTCAACAGCATAGCTGCTAACAAATGCCAGCCAACATGTTGCAAGCCCTGCCTTGAAGCAACCACTTGTAAGGCACGAGAGACAATTTCGCTGCCCTGCTCATCTAGTAGTTGCCCTAGTTGTACGCACTACCAAGAAAAAGCATCAATTATTAACAATTAAAGTGTCATATCTTGTCCCAGCCGCATACAACTGCAAATACAGTTGTGCTGCATTTAGGAAAACAGTGTTCAAGCTTCCACTGTAAACAAGAACAAGTTCAACTTGAACATGCATTGCCTATCTGTAGAATGGAACTTGCTATTAAATTGAAGCTTGCCTAACTTAAAAGAGAAAACTAATGTTTAAATTAAAATCACAGCAATCTACTGAAATGTGACTTAGGGATTTCATCTTTCGGAAGAGGGCTCTCTTCTCCAACTGGACAATTCTGTTAATACAGTTATTTTTCATATTTAGTAAACAGAATAGCCTTAAAACCACTTAAATTATTGGGCTTAGTTGCCAACTAATGAGAATAGTGACTTGCAGTTACTATTTAAGATTAATAACATGTCAGTAAATAACTTTTATTTTACTCTTCAACGTATGTGTTTTAGCAAACAGAAAGAAAAGGGGAGTAAGCAAGAGCAAGAAAGCATCTTTATTTTGGGAACTGTTTGTATGCAGTAGCAAGTTAAGGTCAGGATTTCGAAGGGAGTTAAGTGCCCAAAGCCCATTAATCTATTTGCTGACCATCTAAATATTTGCATTTCCCAGTTAACTGCAGCGTGACCACTTCTTTCGGAGGGATTCAGAGATTCCTACAGAAAAACACTTTGCTCACTTTGCCACATCTGTAGTATCAATGTCACTGTATCAGAAGGATTAATCTTGCGTCCACTGCCTCATTTCATTTTACTCACAGAGATCAGTGTTTATATTAAAAGGAAAATAACAGGCAGAACTCAGTGGCATAAATGGACCAGACATTATACTGATGTAGTTCTAGCAAGGCAAGAAAATGCATTATTAGGGGATAGTATGCATTTTCGGTGTGGAAAGGTCTAGAGATGGCTCCAAAATGAAAGATGAGAAATCAATTTTAAAAACCTGATACAGCTTTACCCAATTACATAATTTTCACACAGATGCTGATTCCCACAAGAAACTTGATTTTCTTTAAAGGTTTCCACCTGTGATTTTCTATGTGTCATATTATAACTGCTAGCTTCAAAGGCAAACTGCATGTTCTATCTCTATTATCAAGTTCCCACATTTTGCATGCGTAAGTTGTTTTTTTGCACAGAGAAGGCAAGGTAGAGATTATCTAAAATGGGGTATGAAGGGAGAAAAGGGTTGTAAAGAAAAAAAGTAAGAAAAAGTGCGTGCTTCAGTACTAACACCACATTTTTGTACATGCATTATTAAAGCACAGCATTATGAAATGCACCAGGGAGCAGAGGAAGCATTTTCCCCACTGTTCTTTGTCACATTTTAGTAACAACTTCCTTGATAAGAGAGAGGATTACAAAGATTTCAGCTGCATCAGAAACAGGGGGCTCACCTGGTTGACTGTTAGCTAGGCCAACAACAGTGCATGCAGGTAAAAAAATGATCGCTGGTAAGTTTCAGTAGGTCCCCAACTGAGACAACTGAGAGGAATGTCACAGAGTGCATCTGTCCTGC